ATTTGAAAATAGAACACCATATTTATCGAGACAGAGTTAAGCTCTGGACACACTAAAATAAGAAGATCGGTAGTGGATGATGTGCAGGAGAAACGTTGTTATACGTAATTTTAAAACTCTTAACGTATTATTGTGCAAATTCTTATCATAATAACTATCCATTTATTCCTAAGTTGCGAGTATTGGACGCTGACTGCAGAGCTAGAGAGGAGGATCCTAGCAATGGAATTCGAGATGCTACAGAAGGATCTCAGTTGCGAGCCCTGGAGGCTGACTGCCGAGCTAGAGAGGAGGACCTAGCAAGGGAATTCGAGATGCTACAGAAGGATCTCAGTTGCGAGTCCTGGACGCTCACTGCCGAGCTAGAGAGGAGGATCCTAGCAAGGGAATTAGAGATGCTTCAAAAGGATCTCAAATTATTACATTTAAAGACCGCATCACAAACGAAGAGATTAGAGAGAGTGCTACTACAGCGATTGGACCCCACGATGACTTGCTAACTATTGTAAAAAAAAAATACGAAAAAGCTAACAAAAACTCTATGGCCATATTTCAAGGTCTTCGTGGCTCGCAAAGACCCTTCTTCAGGGAACAGAACCAGGAAAAAACGAAGAAGAGGCAGTCAGAAAAAGCTATGGGAAGTCACCATAACGAATGGACGGGCCTGTCATCGAAAGAGGCTCTATTTAAGGCAAAAGACAGACAGAAATGGAGAAAAATGTTCGACAAATCTTGCGTGGTGCCCCAACGGTCCAGCAGAATAAGGGATAGGTGAAGGTGAAGGAAGGTGAACCAAGTATGACACCTACCTCGTATTGGGAATGAATGCATGTCTAAAACGATCATTTTCTAACCAGTCAAAAGAAGATGTGATAGCACTGGTGCTCCGGTAAGCGATACAAAGACGATTTCAGGTACTATTCTGCCCTCCCTAGTGTAGAGGAATGAAGTGAGGAATGACCTCGGAAAGGGACATCCGAAGAGCTCCCACGGAGGTCGATGGACATGCGTTTGAGGTCAGAAGAAAAGCTCTTACCAAAATAAATATTCAAAAAAAAACTTGACAAACAACGGCATTGTTTGTATTAGTCAGATGGGGTAAATATGAAGGCCTCGACTATGTTGTTTGTTACCTGAAATACTAGACCGACCTTCATTAGCAATAGTTGAAATTAAAGACAATGCCTTTTTTATAATTAAGATAATTAAGATAAAAATGTAAGAACGTATTGTGATAATGTGTCAGGGGTGGACTGGCTATATGGGCGTTCGGGCAAATGCCCAGTGATCCGGTGCCAAATGGGCCGGTCTGGTCGTGACCAGAGACATTATTTTTTTTAAATTAGATCTAAGACAACATTAAAAAGAAAAGTGACAGTAGCGAGAAACAGATGCCCGAACACGTTTTCTTTTTGGACAATTAATTTGTTTGAAATCGAAAAAGAATATCAAAAACTTTACACTATAAACTGTACTTATTATCAATTGCAAAACGTTAGACCGTACTTTTTACTATGTACGAGAGACATTGAGCTCATTAGACTATTTGAATAATCAATGATAAAGTAATAAGTGTTTTTTTTTTTTTTTAAACCATTTACCGTAACACCGTTACATGCAAACAGATAGTAAAAAAAAAAAAAAAAAAAAGCAACAATGGTATCACCATACAAAAAACACATAAAGCAATTGTGACAATTTGTAACTAAATATATATTAATAAATATATAACATCAAAACAATTGGTAATTAATTATTTAGTTTGGTCGAACAAGAGAAAGAAATTGTACTTGACTGAAGTTATAATATAAGCTGAAATAGTCCCCTTTGTTGCTTGTCGTCTGAGGCTTAGTCAACACAAACATGAAATAGGACGAGACTATGGAAACAATAGATAACTATACAATCCTCCATATTTAGAGCAGCAGAGTGGCTACCGCGTAGGCTTGACAAGGCTTTAGCCCACGAGTTCGAATTTAAGTCATTCACCTTTTTTTTTATAAATACATTTAAAAAGCGACCACCCATCACTTGCAAAAGCAACACGATTCAGTAATGTATTTCATTATCTAAACAAATAGAGTTCCTACTCAAGTAAACATCGATTTTCGTTTTGTCTCACTTTTTTATTTTCAGAAAAAAAAAAACTGCTTCCTATTTACATCATGAAACTAAAAGTTTATAGATGCTATTAGTTTTGTGAGGCATGTCTGTCCGTCCGTCCTGTTGAAAATCCGACATTATATTTTATAGACTCAGACTTTACACCATTCAAAGTTCTGATGCAACAGCTACCTTTTTTTTTCTGAATGCGAACAATTTAATTTTAAAAATCAACTATGCAAGCTGGGTTTTATTTTTCATAAAAATACACCTTTTTTACAACTATTCCCGATTAATAGTAAGAAACACGGGAGACTATTCAATAAGGGAGACGACTATTTACGATATTATAAATACATTTATGCAAACGTTTTAAGATTTTTTGTGTCAAATTTTTTTTTCCAAAACAGTATTACTAAGTTAAGTAATCTCAATCTTACAAAGTACCTGTATTAACAGAAAAAAACGTTTGCTTTTATTTTTTAAGAGAAAAAATATATGTAATATGCATTCAAGTGGAATATAATTTAAAACAACAATTAGAGTAGAGTTTTATATTTTATAAGTGCAAAGCAACATGTGCCGGCCCATCCCGACCCTCACCTGTCACAAGTGAAAAGATATTTTTTTAAAGGTAAAAGTTTTGTTTGTGGAGGTTTTGACTGCAAGATTTACTCTTTACGAAACAATTAGATTTATCAGATAATCATTCAATAAGATCAGTTAGACCAGGTTCACATTAAGCTTTACCTTATCATTGGTGCACCACACAAGATCTGTCTGCCGTCCTTCTCATTTTCTCTCTGTCCTATGCCTTTGATAAAATTTCATTCACTGTTTTCCAATCGCTTTCTATGTCGTCCCTTCATCTTCTTCCTCATACTGTTCCCCGAAGAATGATCTTTGCTAGCCCTTAGGACCTTGTGATGTGACCACAGAGTTTGAGTTTACGTTTTTTTTGACAATGCTTAGCAGGTCATCGTGGGGTCCAATTTCTATATCAATCCTATTTCTAATTTCATCATTTGTGATGCGGTCTTTGTAAGTGACAGCTAGGATTTAACTGTATCTTTATAACTATCAGCTGATCCAATACACATGAATATTAACAATGTAATAATAGCATTAATGAATCTCTGTATCCTGTGCTATCAAGTCGTTAGTCGAAACTAACACTACAACATCATGTCTCTTCGTTTTGTATGGACGGAGATAGGGTTGTAGTTGTTGCAAGTTTGTTTCTAGTTCTTAGTTTCTGATAGTCTTTCTCAAACTATTGAAACCTGCCGTTTTATCTACGTGAGCGGACCACTTCGGGGGCCGATTTTGAGTTTTTGTGTTTCCAAACTGTCTGTGTAATCTTGTTTTCTTTTAATATTGTTAGAATAGTCTAGCGTTTTTCCGTTTCCCATGAAGATTTTCAAAGTACTCTATGGATTTGTCTTTTTTTGTGTCAGTATGCTTGGTAAATGTTCCTAAAGGGAAAGTAGTTTAATAGCCTCTATGGAACATGTTATCATGTAAAGTAGACATTGGCATTGACGTTTATCTTGTGGTGATTCAGTAATTACCATGGAAAGATTAAGTAACTGCATACTGAAAAGTATTGTCAGAGCCAACATTGTCAATGTTTTCATTTTTAAATAAAGGTTGTCGTCCGAAGCTTAGTCAACAAAAACATGAAATGGGATGAGACTATGGAAACAATAGATAACTATACAATCCTCCATATTTATAAGCTCCTCGCTAGCAGAGTAGCTACCGCGTAGGCTTGACAAGGCTTTAGCCCACGAGTTTGAATTTAAGTCATTCACCTTTTTTTTAAATAAATACATTTAAAAAGCGATCACCAATCACCATGTTACATGTGACATTTTTTTTTATTTAACATTTACATATTAATATAATAAGTATTGTTGTTAACTAGTATCTTGACAATAAAACTATAATTTAAAAAGCTTTAAGCGCGTTCCCCCCACCCCCGGATTTTCATGAAATCACGCTTGGGTAACCTATCCGCGTAAGTTGTTTGACATAGTGTTGTCGTTTATGAAAATTTACAGTTCATAGTTTCTGATACTCAAGCTGAAAATATTGAAACCTGAATTTTTACCTGCACGAGTGGACTACTTCGGGGGCGGATTATAAGTTTGTGTCTCCACACAAACTCTCTTTGTAGCCTTGTTTAAAACTTTTTTTTTAGTAGCCCAATTAGAAAATATACTTATTTGTTATTTTAATAACGTAATTAACGATTCAATAACTAGATTTAAGATTTCGTTTTGTAGTCTCTCTCTCTCTCCCTCTCTTTCTCTCTCTCTAACTGTCTCTCTCTTTTGAAAATAAAGTAAATTTTCTTAGTATTTTATCACAATCTTGGTTTTAGCACTTTGTCTCAAGGGAATGAATGCTTAAGACATTATATATGTATTATTTCTATGATATGGAGCAAAAAAAAATGGAGCCTTCAATTAATTTGATAAAAATTTATTTACTCATGAGATTCAATAAGAAAACAAAACTTTAAAAAAAAAATTTTTTTTTAGTTTCTTCATTGACTATAAATAGAATATCAACATAAACATCAGAAATACAAACATCAGAAATACAAACATCAGAAATACAAACATCAGAAATACAAACTTCGGAAATATAAGTATCAGAAATACAAACATCAGAAATACAAACATCAGAAATACAAACATCAGAAATACAAACTTCGGAAATACAAGTATCAGAAATACAAACATCAGAAATACAAACATCGGAAATACAAACTTCGGAAATAGAATTATCAGAAATACAAATACCAGACACAAAACTTACAAGTAACAAACTTATTTTAAAAATTAAGAATATAAACAACAAACACATAATAAACATATAAACTACATATAACATACGATCACCAATCATAACATGCTCTACTGGTCAATAATCATAAACAATTAAATTATCCGATTTTCACACACAATCAAAAGGCTCGTGCGGTTGTAAAGCAGTTCCTCAAAAGTAAACACCAGCGAACAGTTCAATGGTACGAACTGCATTCGAACAAATAAATAATAGTTCCACATTAAAGGTAACTCAGAACCTAGACAAAGAATCTCCAAACGCAAACTGCAAGGGACAATCTTATGCAGACTGGAAGGAAGATATGCTGAATAAAAAGTAAATATATGACGTCATCTACAAAAAAATACAATTCTCTCTTTCCTTTCAAGACACAGACATTTCGATGAATGAAGTGACCTAGATCGTGAACACATACACATTCTATAAATATCTCAATACGTCTGGCTCTACAGCCACGTTTGTTGTATACAAATAATTGTAATAACAATCTTAAAAATAAGAGTCGAAACTAAAAACAAATTAAACCAAAATAGCGTGACGACAAAAATACTAAAAATATTTTTTTTTTAAATAATATTAAAAAGTGGAGACGTTGAGACTTATAATGCGATACGATTCCTTAACGCTGTTTCAACATATTTTAAAGAGATTCTATATATAAGTAGCAGATGAAGTCACAATCAATGTTCTGCACAGTAATCAGACATTTAATATAAATGAATCAATAATATAAACAAATCCTAACTGGCATTGAAAGCCGAATATGCAAAATATTCGACTAGCTAAGCAAAACACTTGCTATGCGTTCTTGAATTTCATTATCTTTTTTTTACTGGGTGGAATCTTGTCCACGTTATTTCTCCCTCTTTCCATCCTCGGATCCAGTTGAAACTTGACACAATTATTACTTGACGATGATAACACATGAATCAATATGAAAAAAACAATTAGTTAATCAATGAGTCAAAAATTAGTTGATTTTGATAAGGGAATATTTCCATCTAATTTAAGCATTATTTGTTTCAAGAGTTCAGTGTAAACGTATCAAGAAATATAATAAACATTTGAGCCATTAGAATGATAAGTGGGCGTGTCATCGTTTTCAGTCCTAAAATGCCTTTGATGGCTGTTAATTTATCTGACTTGCACGCCAGTTCGTGTACACTTGTAGACTTTTCCCATCTGAAAAAATCTCTAACAGTGCGCTCATTTAATACACTCCTGGCCCTCGCTTCTTCTGGCACAGAAATACATGGTATTAAAAAAAGTCTTTCCACATCACAGACTTCTGATTTTACGATTAAAAGCCTGTCTTTTAATTTACTATTTTGGCCAACAATTGCACGCTGTATGGCATTAAACTCCACACTGTTATGCTCAATGTAACTTTGAGATACTATACACACATAACGTAAACTATTGGCTATAGCCTTCTCTTGCTCAGTTAAAATAAGATGACCATATTGGACATCCATTTGGGAATCAAAGTATGTCAATTTTAGACTCACCAGTATGCCTTTAATATGCTCAGCAATCATCGAGTCAAATTCATTTTCTGAATCGTATGATAAATAAATATCATACTGTTGACGCTGAACATCTGGTGCAATTCTAGCTTTGTGGCGTCTCCGAGGACGAAACTTTGTCAAAGAATTTCCATTGACAGCTTCAAATGTTGTTTCAGGTATGTCGCCGTATAGAACAAAAGTGAGAAGAGGGCGAATACACCCTTTCATCACTGAATAGTAGAAAAGAACAGCAATCAGAGTTGGTACTAACATTATAGCGAAAGTCAAACCAAATTCGTATGAAATCATCCTTTTCAAATTGGATTCAAGCAGCTGTTCGTGTACCCAACATTCTTCTGACGAGAAGTCTGATTCAAAGCAAGAATGTGTATCACGATATATGTTCTCATCGGCGTCACTTTGATTGCTTGACCAAGGATCTGTATATACTGGAAATAACTTATGTCTTACTGGGTATACGATCTCCGCTCTATCTCCTCTACCACTTGTTGTGTTGATAAAATTTCGAAATATTCTAAACTCACTCATCCCGTAGCTAGATTTGCACATGCATTGATACCGTAGAAAATAAAGACCATTTTCAGTAATGATGGTCCTTGTAAATGGAGGATTTTCAGATAAAAAACCTCCTTTTCGAAAGAATCTCCAATATGTCCTCACAAACCAAGAGCAGCAATTTTGGTCCGGGTCTTTGCTTTCTGTTCTAGACAATTCAACTCCTATATTTTCACTCTCGGAAACAGTTGAATAAAAAGCGCCCTCTATGAACATGCTTCCAGGGCTAATCATCTTTGTCAAAACTTGTTCATTTCTTTTATTAAGAACGAACTCCGAAAAGCACTGAACAGGTATTATGATTGGCTGATTCGTACATTGATCAGGATTGGTTGTTTTAGGTTTACAGTTGCATTCTGAATCAGGTGGTGGAATGGGAATATCATTTTCAGATTTATATCTAAATTCCGATGTCATACTAGGGCCAGGCTGAACTTCAGAATTAAATGGATTGTGGTACTCACATGTATAGCTTCCGAAATCTTGGTCTTCCAAAAATTGGATTGTTAATATGGACAATACGTTGTACAATTCTAAATTATCAACTTGATTGACTGTAACATTGATCTGTATTCTGTCGTCGTTAGATGTAAGAGGTCTTCCGTTCTTTCTCCAGTTAGCGCTTTTGTAGATCGGGTCTGGATCTCTGGTCTGATATTCGCAAATAAAAACAACATCCTCCATTAGGTACCGAGAGTATGTAAGCAAAAAGAACGGAGGGGCTTGACCCAGAGTAAACGGATGAGGGAATCGAAACGCTTTGTGCATGTCTACTAACAAAGGAGTGGCGTCATGAACTCTACTGTCTGCCCAACGAAACATATTTTCACACAATTCAGTCAATAAATGAAAACAACAAAATGCACAACAAACAAACAAAATAGACACAAAAAGTTTGAGTGTAATATAACATCTGACTCTATTTAAACCAAACTTTTTTTTCATGTTTTTTGTGATAAAATCAAAATTCCGACAAATGCTAATTACCACCTGGGAAAACATTTTGAAGAAAGGGAATATACTAAAATTAAAGTAAATGATGTCAGTCATTTGCCTATCAAGTTCAAATAATGATTTTTGATAAGCTGAGCCATTTAGAATGTATTTTCTATCCATCCAAGCACTTACTGGAATTGGGCGTTTGTCACATGTCTTAATATCTTCTAAGATTTGTGCTGTAATATCTCCAACATGTGAAGGCTGTCGCCAGAGTTCGTAATACCATGGAGAAATTAATAAGCAAAATATTATAAATGTGTATACAAGCAAAACAATGAACCTATGAAAGTTTGACACATCATTGACATCTTTGATAATACAAAGTTTCTTTGTTATCTGTGGTTCCATTTAAAGGTAGTTATTTTGTGGACATTTGTAATCAGATTAATGAAACATGAGTCTCAGACTTGTGCAAGCAGGTTTTCATTAGAATCGTCTTTGTTGCGAATATTCTCCTAGTTCAAGATCTGATTGTAGAGAAATTTCTGCAAATAAAAAAAAAACATTTTTTTTTATATGTGGCCTGGAAGATTGAGTTAATCAATGTTCATGTCTAATTATAGATCTTAGACTTAAACTAGAATCTTCATTGTGACTCGATATCTAAGCAGAGTTAAACAAATCACAATATTTATCCCATGCTTCTAAGAGCTTATAGACTCTCCACCAAATGCCCCTCTGTTCTATACTTCACGTTCACACTCTAATAATGCCTTAAATTTTTTAAAAAATAGAAATGCATTGAAGTGTACAATAAAAGTAGCAATAAAATGTTATGGCCGCCTTCAGTCTCGAAGCGACTAAGAGTAATCTCATACAAATAAAATGAAAGCTTGGGCATTAGCTATGGTCGAAACGATGTTGCCCACACAGAAGTTACCCCCCCCCCCCCGTCTCCTTTTCGCTCCGCTGATGTGTCCAAAAGAACGGCAAGTGCCGATGCAGATAAGGATCAGCGGCGTCGCAGGTTGTATGTTTTATGTGTTACAGACTTTTCTTCAAGACTGGGTGTAGCGACTAGACAACAGAGGTTTGACTTTGGAGTGTTCCTTCTAGGTGGGAGGCCAGGTAAGGCTAACAAGCAATCAATGATGAAATTGTTATAGGTACAGGAACTTTTATATATATATATATATATATATAAATATAAAGTCTGGAAATATCCGGAAATTATTACATCTTTTAAAAACTCTTACAAATCTCCTGAAATATATAAACAAAAATTGTCATTTTGGGGTATCATTCAATATGGAAAACGCCAATTCTACGCGCAATAAAACAAAAAAAGACATTATGCAATACCAGTAAATGTGGAATCTAGTGAAAGAAGCTTCTCGCGCCTCAAACAAATGAAGAATTACTTGAGGTCAACAATTCTAGTAGATAGATTGAAACATTTGGTAATTCTTCCTATTAATAATAATAATAATAATAATAATCTTTATTATCCGTAAGAAAATTTGTATTACAATTTGTGCATTACACCAAACAAAAAACATTATAACTATAAGAAACCAAAGTGTACATTCACACCAGACTCACTCATAATTTACATGTGACAAAGTTTATACCAGATTGTTCTTATTTAATGATTTGATTGCCAGGGGAACAAAAGAGTGTTTGTGTCTGTCTTTGCTATCGGTGTCTTGTATCTCTTTCATGATGGTAAAATCACAAAATCCTTACACAAAGGGTGATTCTTTATTTCGAGGATCTTGTTAGCTTTTTTATAGATGTTTGTCTCAAACAACTGCCCAAATGGGGTTTGTTTTTTGCCAATGATTTTGCCAGCAGCATTTAGGATTCTATAAAGTTTATTTTTATTTTTAATGATCAGATTGCCGTACCAGGCAGTGATATTGAAACTTAAAATATTGCAGATGTGAGCGTGATAAAACATAGCCAAGGCCTTTTCGCTAACATTAAACGAGGACAGTTTTCTTAGTAATCGTAATCTTTGCTGCCCTTTTTTGCTGATATAATCAGTATTTGCAGTAAAATTTAGTTTATTGTCTAGGATAGTACCAAGGTATTTAAAGGTTTGCACAATTTCAATAGTCTCTCCAGCTACAGAAAAAATATCCTTTTCCTTCTTGTCCCTACGAAAATCGATTATCATTTCTTTGGTTTTTCTAGGTAGGAAACAGAACTTTTATGATATACTCGCTACAGACAAGGCTCGTAAAGTAACTCTGTACATAGTAAAGAATAAATAAAATG